TTCGTTAAAAAGTTATAGAAACATTTACAGCTACATCGTATACTTTCGACAACAAATTTTTTTACGAGGTCAAGGAACAACTTTTTCAACATTTTTATAATTTCTACATATTCTCCATTAAAATACGCGTTATTTGCTTTTTTAAACTTTAAAATCCTTCGATCCGTTCAGAAGTTATGACGTTTTAAAGATCCGTACGAAATTTCAGTGGAACGTCTAAACAAATGGTCAGACATTAGATTTTCGGTAAGGAATTTTTTTCTCGAAACAGAGTAGGATTTCGGGGGTATGTCTATTGACCAAAAATGATTGCAATTAATTCCTGCAACTAAAGATAATTTTTTCAAAACGATTTGAAATGTTTTAATTTTGTCGAAAAATTTCACACATACTCGAATTTTTTTCTCGAAAGTGGATAGGATTTCGGGGGTATGTGTATTCACCAAAAAAACTTGTAGTTGTCCCCTCCAACTAAAAATAATTTTTTCAGAATGATTTGAAATTTTTTAATTTTGTCAAAAAATTTGACCCTTCTCGAATTTTTTTCTCGAAAGTGGGTAGGATTTCGGGTGTATGTGTATTCACCAAAAATGATTGTAATTGACCCCCGCAATCGAGAATAATTTTTCCAGAACGATTTGAACATTTTTTTTTTTCGTCGAAAAATTTAGGCACCTACCCCCTGTCGATTTTTCATAAATATTCGTTTTCCATTTTTAGTAATTTTGTTTGACGCCCTACAGAAAAATTGTCTAATACTTTTTCGTAGGTACCCATGAGCTCTACTTCAGAAAAAAGTTTCATTGAAATCCATTCACTGTTGTAAGAGTTATGGCTGTTTGAAAATTGGACCACTTTTATGGGGTTTTTCTAACTTTACGGGGTCAAGGAACAACTTTTTCAATATTTTTATAATTTCTACATATTCTCCATTAAAATACGCGTTATTTGCTTTTTCAAACTTTAAAATCCTTCGATCCGTTCAGAAGTTATGACGTTTTAAAGATCCGCACGTAGTAGAACGTCTAAACGAATGGTCAGACATTAGATTTTCGGTAAGGAATTTTTTTCTCGAAACAGAGTAGGATTTCGGGGGTATGTCTATTGACCAAAAATGATTGCAATTAATTCCTGCAACTAAAGATAATTTTTTCAAAACGATTTGAAATGTTTTAATTTTGTCGAAAAATTTCATTCCTCGAATTTTTTTCTCGAAACTGGTTAGGATTTCGGGGGTATGTCTATTCACCAAAAATGATTGTAATCGACCCCCGCAACCGATAATAATTTTTCCGTGAATGATTTGAAATTTTTTAATTTAATTTTGTTAATAACTTTTTAACGAAGCCTCGATCAATAAATTGATATTCTTGATTTTCGCCTCGTAGAATCTCCCATCAAAATTGTTTCTCAGGGGTGACCGAGCACCCTGTATACGTCTCTTCGGTTCAAACTGTCTATAGTAAATTTAATTAACGTCGCGGTTAGATTATAGGTAGAGTATCCGTTGCTCGCCATAGAAAGAGACACGCGTTTACGAAAGAGCAGACAACGATGTACAACAAGTAAAACGGAATCGTAGCGCACGTATGTATGTACATAAGTCGTGGCGCAAACAAGGCTGGGCAATGCACACTGTGCATAAGCAGGCTGAACAAACAGGGGTAAAAGAAGAAGAACCGGTCGTACAAGAGTCGTTGGTTGCTTCGGTCGAACCCAGTGTCGACTAGTGTGTCCAGTAGCCGAAACAAACTTTACAAATTTCATATGGGTCGAGTATACCCCAAAAGAATTTCTTCGTTCAATACGGTATTTATACATACGATACTTTAAGCGTAATAATTGTTTTACGAATCTCTCTCTCTCTCTCTCTCTCTCTCGTGTCTAAAGTTAAAATCTGGTGCATCCGGTGACCTCCATCAACGAACGAAACACACTTTTTCCAACACGTTTCTTTCGATAGTACTAAAAATAAGTAAACGGGTTATTTAAAGCGTCAAGTTACGGCAGCTTTATCCATAGTATTTTTTTGTTCCTTTCTCTGGACTAAAACCAGAATCGAGAAGCAAAGAAATACCACGTAGATTGGACGTTGCAAAAAACGGACCAACGACGGTTTCATAATAAGCATGTAAATAGAGAACGTTTCTTGATTAAATTATTGCAAGTTTGGGCAATTATGCCGGACAGACCGTCCCGAGAATTATAAATGTAGTTGTTCGCTCTATTTCGTGGGCCGAATTCCAATGAGTTTATCGTTTGGCTGCGTTAAAGTGGAAATTCCGCGTAGCATCGCGCCGCGGCGACGAATTCGCTCGAAAGATAAATCCAAAACTGACGTTCTAATTCGAGATTTAATTTAAATGGTAATTTCAAAATAGAAATCGCGCGACCGAAAATTTCAAACAGTCGCAGTCTCTGTAGAAGGTTTGCGTCGTTCATCTTTCGCCGTTATTCATCGTCCGAGCGACCGTCCTTTTCTTTTCCTTTTTAAAACTCGACGTTTTCGAGGAATCTTTTACTCGTGGATCTGGTATTCCGAGAAGATACAGCTGCCGTTGGTTTCGCCGATAAAGAGGAACTTTTCAATCTCGAAGCGAGCCAACTTTCCAGCTGCGAGACTTTCCGACCGAATGGTACTTTATCGAAGCCCTTTTCGCGCGATCGAAACTTTTTATGCTGGCTTCTCTGAGCCGGTCGCGTGACCGACCAAATGCGGAGTCGTTCCAACCAGACGCACAAATGCTTTCTATCTACCGATTCGCTGCAACGAATTATCGCGAGCATCGTTTTCATCCTTTTCATCGTTCGGATAGTTGTTGTAAAGGTAAAGGTAAAGGTAACGGTAACGATACCGCGAATCTGCGAGAAAAAGGATCGATAGATTCTATCGAGGTCGCCTGGATGCAACGACAACCGGAAATATCATTTTCCCCGATAAAACCGTTGTAATTTTCATCATCGAATACCGTTTTAATTATAATTGCCAAGGCTCCGTGAAATTGAATTACAGCACAAACACGCCGGCAATTATTAATATTTGCGTTTCGATCGCGATACGTTATTTCGACTATATAATAAATACGCGATCGTTATTCACGTACGATTCGACGCGTTTCGATTAACGATCGGTCCCCCTCGATGCGAACACGCGAGAACGACGTTTCGTGTCTTTGTGTCTTCTTTTGGTAATTAATTCAGGCTCGCAACGTGTTTTAATTTAGCGAAACGCCGCTTTGTTTCTCGCGTACCCGATATCGTAAAACGTAATTACGCGTTGCGTGCCGATTACACACGATCGGTAATGGAAAGTTTCGTAATTAGAGGGAATTGGATGATTAATACGTTCACGTTGGAAATCATAGTAATTTCGGTCTTTGATGAGCGGCCGAAGCGAGTGCACGTCCCAGCTTCGCCGAACGTTACAACCAACGCCTTTATCGCGGTTTCGGTTGAAAACGGTATTTCGTTTCGATTTCGATTTCACGCGTCGTCATGAATTTTTAACGAATCCTCGTATTTCTAGCCGGCAGTCTCGTTCAAACCGCATGGAAAAAAAAGAAAGAGAAAAAAATGAAACAAAAATGAAAAAAAGAAAAAAGACTAAAACGCTTTCAGAGGTGAAATTTTCGCCGAGTGCAATCGAAATGAAAAATATTAATTCAAACCGACGCGACGCGACGCGACGCGACGCGACGCGACGACGCGGCACGACGACGCGGCACGACGTGTCGCATTAATTGTGGCCCGAATTCGGTATCGCGCGACGAGCAAACAGCAGAAACTTGCGTCACGAAGGATCGTGCATGGAATCGCGAAACACCGAGACGAGGCTAACATTTTCAGAGACGAGAATGAAATTCTCAATCGCTTCCCCACATCCGGTTCCGAGCAACATTTCGATAATTGGATTTCCCGTGGCTTGGTCCGTAGTTAAAAAATATTACGGCTATCCGCGTCGCTACGCTCCGGCCACTCTCATGATTCCGCGAGTACGAGAGCGTGCTTGTACCATTTTTCACGTGCCGAAGCATTAATCAAATCACCCCTCGTTCCGTCTCCCTTCCTCTCTGGAGGGGTTACATCCGACGGAATACTACTTTCTGGTCGGGTGAAAAGTCGCTGCCGCAACAGGGCTCCGGTATAGAAACAATGACCGCGGAACGTATGTATGTACGTACGTGTCCCAAACGACGACGACAAACAACACTCTATACATAATATGCGTACACAACTTTACCTTATTCTCCTCGTTGCTTTCAATTATTTCAAATTCCATCCAATCAATAGCAAATTTCAAGTTGCACGTGCACGCAATCGACGACAAAACCGAAATCTTTTCTCCTGAAAATTAAGGCGATTCCAATGACATTGACCAACATAATTAATTTCCATTTAATCGCGGCGATTAGCCACACGATCGCGGCGGAATGTCATACAGTAATATTGCTTCTAGCACGGGGAGTACACCGTTCATACATCATTACTTGCCACAAATAATTCACCAAGATAATTCGCTTCACAATAAATATCTGACGCTAATTAAGCCCGTAATCCAATGGCAGCCGATACGTAATTCAATTACGCTAATTAATGTTCGATTGCGATTAACAATCCAATTAAAGGTATACACACCGGGGCTCGAGAAATAATTTCATCTGTTTCCGCTAATGCATCCTGTGAATCATCAATCGGAATTTCGTACGAAAGTCACGCGAACACAGACCGAGCGAGACTCTTTAAGAGTAAAATTGTCCTAAAACGTAAAAAACTGCTAATCCCGTTAGCAATCGTAATAAAAAGGGAAGATACCTTGAATCTGTTCCTGTTAATAATGTATCTGGCGTTTGATACACTACGTACTAAGAATGCACTTTGATGGTACATGGTAGTACGTTCGAATGCGGCTCCGCAGGGAAACGAGCGGAGAATGCAACGGTACGCAGGTCGCGAGAAAATGTTCTAGGCGAACACGGGCCACGTTTCTCGCGGACCGTGTCCTAATTCGCCGTCTGGGGCACATACGGGGGCATATAGGGCCCCGTAAGGATGTACTGCACCGCCACCACCATCAGCTGCGGGGCGCTCCACCTGATGATGTACGCGCTTCCTGGAACAGAAATGCATTTTCCACGTTACTCCGGGCTGCCTCTGTCTTATGTATCCGCAACCCTAAGTGCTACGCTATTCCAGGATAAAATTACGCATCGCGTACGCGTATGTGTGTCTATGTGGAGTTGGGTGCCAGAGCAAGAACGTGCTTTCGACCCGACACGACGCGCGACGACTACATACCACGCGTTAGATTCCTCGAGCTGGAAAAATACGAGCTCTAAACAGTCAATTCCTTGGTCCAACATTATTTTAATACACATGTCCATACATTCTCTGTAGAAAGAAAGACCGTACCAACCATCGTATCCGCGTTTACGAACAAATACGCGCCACTTTATTTCGAGTCTCTCGTCTTTCTGTTCGGCTACGCTCTAGAACCAACCAACCAACGAACGAGAGTCGATCTTGTTTATATTCCAACATTTTCCACTTTTATTTTTTAAAAGCGTCCTCGATAAAAGTTTCGCGCAACGTTCAGAATTTAGATTAACATTTAAGAGAGCACATTTTCGAAATACTTGGCGTACCAGCAGCATACGTGGAACGTTCCGGCTAAAACTTGTCGAGGAAAACTCGTAGAAGCGAGAGCAGAGTTTCAAGCGGAACTTTTCGTCCAAAGTCCCACGGGTGTTCCCTTTTACGCTCTCTCTGATCTAAAGCTTGCTCGAGCTACGGCAAAGATCTCGTTGCTTTTCCTACTAGTACATACACCATTGCTCGATACATCGATCAAGTCTTTTCTTTACCGTTAACGTCGCATCAAAAACTTTATTGCCTAGCAAACATCTGCTTTCGACAAAACCTTCTTCCTTCTCTTCCTTCTCATTGTTTCTTACAAACGCGTTAAAAATTATTAACAAAGACGAGTAATCGGTCTCGTTGGGTACGGGTCTCGGTACGAGCAAATAAATCGTTATAATAGTTTCGATCGAATAGTGGAAAGTTTCCGGAATAAATAAACCGGTAACGATATTCAAAGATTGCAGCAGTAAATTATTACGCCGTGACTACGTATTTTGCGATCAGTCGTGTATAGGAAAATAGAGTTATAAATAATCCAAGGTCCCGTGTATCGGCAGAGGGAAATATATCGGGCAAATAACGTCAAGCAGATTCATCGAGTGTTGGGATGATCGGCTCGCTCGCTCGCTCGCTCGTGCGCGGTCTTTCGGCTCTTTCGGCTCTTTCCTTCGGCTCGATGAACGAAATTACAAATCGTCTCGCGTATATCGGTTATCCGGCGATGAAAAATGTCAAATTGGATGCCGGCCGACACGATAGCGCGCGGCACCCTTTCGCACAAAGACCCCGGTAAGATCTTTATTTGCATCCCGGTCTGATTTATGCTCCATCTGCATCACGTCGTTCTCCGTTTCGCGTGGCGTGTTCTATTCGCGAATCGCGCAGCGAGTTTCGCGTCTGAAAAATATATTGCGCTCGTTCCTCGCGGCGGGATCGAGCAAGCTCGTCTGCGGAAGAGGGAGGCCGGCCGGCAAGGTAAGGGAACAAAGAGTGAGGACAAATAGACGAAACGAAAAGCACAAATAGACGAAATGGGGAAAGCATCGAGTTCGAGGAGAGAATAAAACTAAATAAGAGAGATCCAAAGGGAGGAGAGGATAGAAATGGATGGAAATTGTGCAAGAGCATAGAGACAAATAAACCAACACGAAGGAAAAAGTAACGCGGCTCGAGAGACGAGAAAGGAGAGAAAGAGGACTCTGCCGGGGCTCTTATCGCGAATAGAAGCTGCTGGTGTTACGGATTACTCGCTATCGCGACCAATATGTCAAGCCGTAAGAACGACGAGGAGTCAAGCGTTATATCGCGAAATAAAATGGCCCGTGGCATGTGTGACCATGGCCGGGTCGCGTCCTGAAATATACCGACCCAGCTCCGATACGATCTACGTATTTATTGGCATTTTGCTTCCGCTCGAATTATGTATTTTTCATAACACATGTCCGACGGCTCGTTCGCGAATCCAAAGTAACATGCTTCGCGACGACGACGCTGCCGCCGAAGCCGACGCCGACGCCGACGACGTAAACTTGATGCGCACCGCTGAGATACAGAGGCGACATCGACCGGAAGGTTCTCGCGAAATCGGAAAGCGTCACGGTGAATTTTAATGCCAGGCTACGATATCGACAGTCACCGACAGGAACCACCACCGACTCTCCGATCGAAAAATGCATTCGCATATCTGTATTTATATATTTATTTCGACATGTTGACGGCATATTCTTCCATCAATGTTTTTTAATGAAACGGTTTTTCCACTTTACGAGGTCAAGGAACAACTTTTTCAATATTTTTATAATTTCTACATATTCTCCATTAAAATACGCGTTATTTGCTTTTTTAAACTTTAAAATCCTTCGATCCGTTCAGAAGTTATGACGTTTTAAAGATCCGCACGAAATTTCAGTAGAACGTCTAAACGAATGGTCAGACATTAGATTTTCGGTAAGGAATTTTTTTCTCGAAACAGAGTAGGATTTCGGGGGTATGTCTATTGACTAAAAATGATTGTAATTAACTCCTGCAACTAAAGATAATTTTTTCAAAACGATTTGAAATGTTTTAATTTTGTCGAAAAATTTGACCCTTCTCGAATTTTTTTCTCGAAAGTGGGTAGGATTTCGGGTGTATGTGTATTCACCAAAAATGATTGTAATTGACCCCCGCAACCGAGAATAATTTTTCCAGAACGATTTGAACATTTCTTTTTTCGTCGAAAAATTTAGGCACCTACCCCCTGTCGATTTTTCATAAATATTCGTTTTCCATTTTTAGTAATTTTGTTTGACGCCCTACAGAAAAATTGTCTAATACTTTTTCGTAGGTACCCATGAGCTCTACTTTAGAAAAAAGTTTCATTGAAATCCATTCACTGTTGTAAGAGTTATGGCTGTTTGAAAATTGGACCACTTTTATGGGGTTTTTCTAACTTTACGGGGTCAAGGAACAACTTTTTCAATATTTTTATAATTTCTACATATTCTCCATTAAAATACGCGTTATTTGCTTTTTTAAACTTTAAAATCCATCGATCCGTTCAGAAGTTATGACGTTTTAAAGATCCGCACGCAGTAAAACGTCTAAACGATTGGTCAGACATTAGATTTGCGGTAAGGAATTTTTTTCTCGAAACTGGTTAGGATTTCGGGGGTATGTCTATTGACCAAAAATGATTGTAATTGATTCCTGCAACCAATAATAATTTTTTTACAATGATTTGAAATTTTTCAATTTCACCAAAATATTTCTTCACCTACTAAATTTTATATAAATTAAATAAAATAAAATAAAATAAGATAAAATTAAACTAAATTAAAATATGTTGGGAGCTAGGGCCGAAGCTCGTATCGTTGGAGATATCGTTGAAGAAGAAACAATCTACAGACCGATAACAAAGGTATTTTCAAAGTCAGTTACGATTTTTAATCGGAAAAATGGGCGCGTTTATATTTGCCGAAAAATGGTTGTCGCTCCGTCAGCTTTAAGAGACAAGACGAGGCCAGTTATAACGTTCGACGAGCGCGGAAAATGAGGTCGAAGGGAATAAGAAGGTTATCGAGTTATCGGTTATATATCAGCGACAGATAGATTGATACATAGCTGGATAGATATAATAGATAGATAGACAGTGTGTGTGGGTGTATGCGCGCGCGCGCGTATCAGTGAGTGAGAAGAGAGAGAAAGAGGGACGAAGAAGGGAGGTTGATCTCTCGAAAGTACCTCGGTAGTTGCGGCACATGCAATTTGCGACGTCTGAAGTTACTTGTAACGTGGTGTTGTTTTAATGGCCGCAGACGCTATCGGCAGCGATCGAGTCAGCACAATTTTCCTCATCACTCTTCTCGATGCAGGGAAATTTGTTGCCAAAGAAAAAAAAACGAGACGGATTTTTCCGGAAGAAAATCAAGTTTTGGTATGTAAGAATGTTGGATAACACGAGCGAGTTTATAGAGTGAAGGGTAATAGAAATTTAGCACGCATGGAATTACGAAGCCATTGATGTTTCCTCCATAACCGTGGGACGACTACGTTAGAAACGGCCAAGGCTCGAGCTTGGTCTTTTCGGCATATCCCGAAGGTGTCTTTGGTCTTTCCCTCGTAAAAGAATGGATGTTGTTTGTCACGTATCGGGCACGCATTCATTTATCAACGGTATCCCCTTTCCGGTTCTCGGTAGGTATACACGTCGTGGGCTAAACGCGGCATTTGTACAGGGGCTTTTTTAGTTGGTCGACGCGTATATTACGTGCCCGGAGACCAGGATCACGGGAACTCTGGGGAGAAAGAACCTTGGTTGACCCTTTTATTCCTCGCGAGGAAATTACCTTCGGACGAGTTCCTCGAGCTTCGTTTTTACCCTTCGCGTGTCCTGTTTAGCCGTTTCTCTCTGTCGCGTACCCGTTTCTCTTACCTGTACGAGTCGAGTTGGCGTACTTTTTCGAGACAGAGATTTCTTTGGAACGATATTAGGGACCAGGCCGCCCCTCCCCCCTCCCTCCTCCTGTTCATTTTGCTGGGAAAAATATGACTGGGAAATTACGCTGGCGAGAAACGACGTTTTATTATCTGCGACGCGTATTCGGTCTTCTTGGTTCATTTGATAAAAGTATTTTTCTCCATTGCGGCGAGACCATTTCCGTCTCGGGGAATTTCGAAGAAAGGAACGGCTCTTTTCTATGCGAAACAACTTTCACAAGTACGATCAACTGTAACGATAGTAATTATACGATGAATCGAATTACGGAAGAAAGCGGCTGTTTCCTCTGTTCGTCTCGGTTCTCGTCATGTTTCGACGGAAGCAGGAAGGAAGGCAGGCAGAGAGTTTCGAGGCCGTAAAATCGTCGAGAAGCGTTTCTGTTGCGACGTGCCACTTGATCGGTACTTTGCGAGAAGAAGGAAAGCAGAGAGAGAGGAACGCAGGGATTTGAAAAGGCAAGAAGATTTTTCCGGCCTGTTGGGGATAAACTGGAA